GCCCCACCACCCGCCCCCAACCCAACACACGATTTTTCTGCGCTTACTCATCGAGTTTTCCCTTGGGAAGCCGGTCTGGCTTGCGAGATGGAGCCGTGCTGCCAGTGGGATGCTACGACATTAGCTGCAACGTGCGAAGCGCCAAAACCCAGCCCAGGCCGTCCGTTGCAAGGCATGGTGCCTCAAGGACAAACGTGGCCCCACGTTTCTGTCCGAGGACACCTCAGATCCTCAATCTCTCAAAAAGATTTCAAATCCTAATTAATTTTTTTCTTTTTTTCCCCCCCTGTTTGCTCTGCTTAAATATCTCTTATGGACCATCGGGTTCAAATGAATTTCAAGGCCTGCCAGACAAACTCTTGGTTTTTTTTCTTTAGTTGGAAGCTTCATTTAAAAAAAAAAAAACCACACATAATTATGTGTTCATCTGCTTCAATATTGTTTTGCTAATCTCACTGAGCCTTTCTTGCTGGATAATTTAAGTACTTCCTGGATAACTTTCATTTCACTTCTTCCTTCTCACGTGCACTAAGAGCAGGTAGGCATGCAAACTGCAGTGATTGTAGACCGGCCGACTCGTCACCCAAGGCCACGCACTGAAATAGGGAACAAGAGATAAGACAGGAAGTTTAAACGGTCTCTCTCGAATTAGGTGGATGGCAGCTGCGGGGAACAGGAAAGGGGGAGAGTCTGTGTATTTTACAGTGAATGATGATTCCTGGACTCTGTATGGCTGCATTAAAAGAGATGTAAGACTTTGGAAACGCCATGAGAGATGTTATAGAAGCCGTTGCTTGTAAAGGACTTCAATAAGAGAGACTAGCTTGGGCTAATAGTAGTGCTTCAGCATCTAAGGACCCTGAACTACACTTACTTTTGATGCCAGCTCCTTGGCAGCCCACTTACATTCTCCCCCGCTGAAGCGGAGCGGTTAATTTTGGCTTCAAAACCAAGCAATAAATAACGAGATGACAGTTTAAAAACGTTTGGTTTGGTCTTTATTTGGCGCATTAGCATCCCTTCTGTACGGCATCTCCGAGCTACGCTTGGGCCCCTGCTCTCCCGCACCGTCCGTGCTCCGCTCCAGCGCGTCCCGCAGCGCCCTGGCCCGGATCTGGGGCTTGCTCTCCCGTCCCGGCCGCTCGGCGGTCCCAAAGCGCGCCGCGGGGGACCCTTTGGACCTTGCGGAGAACAAACGCTGCAATAGAGGCACGATGTTTCCTAATACCCACCCTAACGCCAGCTACTTGCCCCGATTAGAAAAGAATCCGATAATCGGCAGAGTTAATGCTAAATCAAACACTATTTGTGGCAGTGACTGGAAACTCCGTTTCGCAAACAGCGGCCCCTAACTCGATTCCTCCTGTGCTTAACAGACAATGGCATCTCACTGATATTAAACACGTACTGTGAACTGTAGTCCTGTGAAGTGCTCAGAAGATGGCAAGCAATATAAACAGTACTAAACATCAATGAATATAACCAAAACTTAACGTCTGCTTTCCTTGTTTCAGTGAACTGTTCATGTCTCTTCAATAAGCCAAACATCACGCAGAAGTTTTCCTCTTACAAGTCTTCCCCTTCCTTTTCTATCGGCTTCTGATATTGTAACTTTTAAAGCAACTGTAAATGCCCTGCAAGCCATGCAACACAAGCGTCTTTCTTGACACTGTATGCTTTCTAATACAGTAATTCAAAATTAGAATGTAAAAATAAATTAAAAGCCTACAACCAAAAAAGCCATGGTGTCACAGTATTTTTCCTCTTTATACTTCATAATAATGACATTATGTTAGTAATGAAAACGGACCGTTGTGCATTGTTCACTTCAGTAACACTACAAAGGTGGTTCCAGTTGTAAAAATAAATAATAAAGCAGTTAAAAACTCCCTGCGAATGCCGCCAGAACCCACCGAGACTCAGAGGTAGGATCGAGATGGGGAAAGTGGAAGAGGACTCCCACCAGTGTCCCGAGGCCGGTTCTCGGGACTCTCCCCTGCTCTGCTCAAATAGCCACAAAACGCCAGAGTAATCCCGTGCTCTGACTCGGGCAAACGCTCGAGGGGCCGAAAGAAGGCTCCCTCAGCAAGCAACGAGTAACAGCAGAACAAGGACCTCAAGGTTTGGTCTTCAGGGATGAACGGAGGCACGCGTGGCCGCATGAGGCTGTCATCTCACTAGGAAACCGTGCTCGTGGCACGTGCTCCGTGACCCAGCACCGAACACCGGAGACAGCTCTGCGTAGTCACCGACGCGGTTGCTAGCATCGTTGCTGCAAAATGGATCTACGGCTTTCTGGTGTAGCTGCAGCCCCAGAGTCTTGGCTATCTAGGGGAGCTCTGGGAGCCATAAATACCTGCTCAGCAGGGCTTCTGAAGAGCTTGCACCACAGGTCTCTGTTTGTGAAACGTCCTGCCATCCCCATAGAGAAGCTCTTCCTGTCTCCCACTGAATTCCCAGCACGCAGATCTCTCTTGCGGATGGCTCACCACGTTTCTTTTAAAGTGCTGCGGGCTGCAGACTGGCTTCACCAGCTAAGGGAACACCAGGCTCGATTTTAAACCGGGGAAAGCTCCAGGTTTTCTCTCCCACATCTCATTAAAGGAATTACTTTCTCCATAAGATTGTTTATGAAGAATATAAATTCCACAAGCCTGATGCGGAGGGGACGCAGCCATCTGCGTCATTCCTTGAACTACTATCCTACAGGACTCTTTCCTGGTATGGGAGGCCTGTTTGAGGAAACAGCTATATTTAAGGAGAATGTGTTTCTTAAAAAAAAAAAATTCCAATAGGATCACTGAAAGTGCATGGTTCGCATCAATATTCTCAGTGTAGGACAAGCTGCTACTCTACATGCCAAGACGCCAGCCACAAAGCTCTATTTAAGGGGAGAAAGGAAACAACATGGACTGCAAAGTGTCCTTTTACTACCATCAACAGTCCTCCAAGCTCACAGTAAACCTTCCCTCTCAGACCCCACTAGCAGCCCTGCCAGATGAGAACTCTCACTACTGCTATTCATGTATTTTGCTCCATGGTCCTACTACAGGTCTGTATTTATCTCTCTTAGGTCTGCATATAGAAAATGCAGGAGGCATGCTAAGTGCTGCAACATCTAAAGTAATTTAACTTACACGCTCCTCAGAGCAAGGGACTTGTGTGTGCTTTGAGCAGTGCATTTCTATAAATACATATTTTAATAACAACAACAATAAATAGCAACAATAGTCATAAAAAGCTATGCATGTGACCTAAGATTAGGTGCCATTGAAAGGTCATATAGCTTAAGCAAGGGATAAAAATGTCAATGCTATGCCTATGCTCTACTGGAAGAAGGTGTAAAGCCTTGATGCAGCGCATGCATAGAAAACAGCAGAATAAGAATCTTATGATCAGGACAAGACAGGTGCAGGGTCCCTCTGGCTCAAAATGCCAGGTAGTCTTTGGTCTTTTATTCTGCAAGTTCCCTCATAGGAAAAAAAACTCTGCAGGCAAGTCTGGGCTGTTGCCCTGGGCACTGCGGAAATTGCAGACTGCTGTGCACTATCTGCAGCTTATGGTTGTTTGTGCAGGTCAGAGGCACGGTCCTGAGAGCGGGCTGAAGCTCTCCTGTTAGGCACAGCTCAACGCTTGGGGGAATCCAGTCTCTTTTCCCTGGACTTCCAACTCATATCTGACGTCTGTCTGTCTTTCTCTGCGGCGTGCAGGTCTCCCGTTGCACGCTGGTGCTGCGGGGGGAGGCACTGGGCACACGCTCGCAGGTGAGCGCTTTCTGCCAGGGTCCTTCCTCCGACAGTCCCGTTTCACAGTTCCCCACCCCAGCAGCGGGAAAGCCTGTGGTGGGGAGGGAGGACCACTCTTCACAACAGCTCGATGGGAAGCAGAAGTGCTTGAGGTCCTGGGGATCCCGATAAAATCCCAGGACTTCAGCCGAAACCCCACCACATGGTCCTCAGGCCTCACAAACCATCTCTCAGATGCCAGCCTCTGCTGCAGTGCCTCTGCCTTGTCCTGTAGCTCTTCCCCCCCGGGCGGACACCGGCTCAGGTCAGGTATGCGACCGCTTGCTGATGCCGCGGCCGGTGGCCTGCTTTGTCATGTCCTGGTAGGAGGCAGACTTCAGGAACCTGGGGTAGGAGTCCTTCTCCATCAAGGTGCGGGTTTTTGCCTGGGCTTCGTTGAAACAAGCAGAGGTTGCACCCGAGAGGTTCTTCCGGGTAATCTCCCTGGTTTCATGGTCGATATTCACCTGCAAGGAAGGAGGATCCATGAACATTAACTGGGCATTAGCTTCCCTCCCACGTGGGAAGGGAAACTGCTTTCTCCACATCAGGGTAAAGATGCTTCCGGTCTTTATATTCCTTCATTCTGGAACACGACATGAGATTAAAATTGAATGCTTTTGCAAATAGACTGATCTTCCTACTGAGGTGAGGAAGGACTTTAATAAAGCCCACTGGGATATTTTATTCCTTTCACCCCTCTGTTCAGGGACAGAGCCACAGAACGGGGAGCCAGAAATCATTCTCACCTCTCTAGGTGCCTCGGTTTGAACAAACTCCTCAAAGATCCTGTTGGCCTTGGAGGCTAGCTTCGTTTTCGACCGGGTCTTTTTGAAGTCCTCACAAGCCAGCCAAAAGTCTAGGTTCTCCTCACTGAACTCTGTCTTCAGGAAGGTGTGGAAGGCAGTCACCCCATCTGGGAAGAAAAGGGAAACGCAGGTAATGGGACAGAAGGGAACGAAAGGAAAGGAGTGCTCGTCTCCTCCTTGGGAGGAGGGGAAGCCTGCCAGATGCGACACTGCTGAGCAAGCAGCTCCCTGGGAGTTCAGACCATGACATGTACAGATTTCCTTTCCCGCTGGACAAATTCCACCCTCTGAGATTCTGCTAACTGGCCTCTAGACTCCAGTGAAATCCTTTCCCACAGGCAAGTATTCCTCTGGTTTTATTTATCTGACCTTTCTATAATGAGTCTTCAGAGTATATTTTTTACAGCTTTGGAAAAGATCTAATTCTACCTAAGGAGAAATCCATTTAGGTACTAGTACATTTGGAGGAACTGAGCAACAATGGCTTTATTTTTACCTCTTGGCTGAGATCTAGAGGGAAGATGCTGAGGAGTGTGGGAGAGTACTCGCAGCGGTGATTTTGGTTCCAGGCTCAGAATCTATTTAATTACAAAGCGGGAGATGCTCGCTAGCCTTCACAGCACGCGAGAAAGGCCGGAAAAAAATACAGCTAGCCCAAGCTAGTCCTGTTAGAAGGACTATCTGTTGCTATGCAATGACTTTTAAGGTACCCCACAATTTTTGCATTAAAATTTGGCACTCCTGCCATTATGCGCTTGCTGTGGAGCCCGGTGTAAGGAAGGGATTATATGTGGGACTCGGAAGGAGGTTTCCTCTCTAGGTCAGGAGGGACCCTCTGTATGAGGGAGAGGAAGACAACGCCTTATGGAAATCCTGTGCATCACCATATACATAGCAAATTTTGAATGGGAAGATGGATATATTTATATAACTCAGTAAAGCAGCTGAATTCTTTCCCCCTGTATAAGAGCCATCCCCAGAGGCATGGGTCAGACAGAGAAAGGGCAGCAACATAGCCTTCTGAGGAACAAGAAATCCGTGTAAAGGTGGTTGTGTTACTGTGTGGTGGAAGACACCAACAGGCAGATATAGCTGCTTTTTTGTGAGTGTGGAGAAAAGGAAGCTGGGGTAGGGACCGCTCGGGCCGCTTGTGGACCGAGAGGAAGAGGAGCAGGCGATTGCAAGAAAGAGGCAACGGAGGGATCAAGGAATGATAGAGTCATCCAAAAATTAATAACGCTTACAGCCCACAGGACAGTTTTGTCAGGTTGCTGCTGGTTTCTACATTGTGCCAGAGGGAGAAGAAAACCCAGCCCCGCTACTGCTACATACAGTTGGCTCAAGATCACGCTGATAATGTTCTTGGCCCAAGAAAGTGGCATTGCACGGTGAGACAGCGCCCGTGCCCCAGAGGAAGGACCCAGTCAGAAGAGAGGGGTAAAGGTGCCGCAGGTCCATCTGACCAAGCTAGGCAATAATCCAGTTTGTCAGCTGTGTTAGGGGCACCGCTTTCCCGAGCGGGAAGGGGCCTCCTCCCAATTTCTAAAATGTCTGATTTGAGGAGAAGACAAGATTTCCTTATACACTGGCTCCAGTCGTGCAATTACCCCCTCGCTCACTGAGAGCACGTTTGCCCGACGCGCTCTGATCAAGAGAAGTAAACAAAATCCTACTCACTTTTGCTCTTCAGGAGCTGGTCGAAGGATTCTCTCCATTCGAGCACCTCTTTTGAGGAGTCCCTGGAAAAGACAAAAGGACGTGAGCTTCGCTGCCCCGTGAGCGCCGTTTCCCCTGCCCTGCAACGAAGGATGGGAACGCTTCATTACAAGCGGTCCCATGCGTGAAGAGACAAGAAGAGAGGTAGCAACACTCGGCAGGAAACCAAACTGAGGCCCCCAGCATCCATTACCTGTGGGGCCTCTTTCCTTTCTCTTTTTCCCTTTCTTTTGCCTTCCCCGATGGCTCACCAGACCTCAGTTCCATAGCGTGGCTCTGGCCAGCTATTCTCCTGCACAGGACCGGCAGAGGAGCCCCTGTCCCCTGGTACGAGCTCAGCAGAACTTCCTCTGCAAGAAGGATTCCTGCCTACAGCAGTAATATTTAGTATTTGGCTTTTAACGTCGACTGCTCTCCCAGGTGTGTGCCCAGCACAGGTCTGAGATACCCGCAGCTGCGTAAATGCTCCGGGTTTCTTGCCTGTTGCTGAAGTGCTGCTCTCTTGTGCCTAATGCAAGAGCCTCCGCTCCCCAGTCTGACTTTATAACTGGTGGAGCTGGGAAGCAGCCCGCCTCCCCTGCCAGCTGGGTGGGACCTGGGGCGGCGAGATGGGCAGGATCATCCCGCGGGACAGAACCGTCCACCG